GGGGGGGGGGGGCTAAAAAATATTTGAGTGGGGCTAAAGCCTCTAAAGTAGGTCTAACAACACCCCTACTTACACCTATATTATGACACCTGGACACCAGAAAGGAGGCAGACCCCGTAATGCGGGAGAAGGGTTTATTGTCACGTAAGCCAAGTTCACCAAAAGCCAAAAGGGAAATCCAAACAGGTAGTGAAGTTGAGCGCAGAGAGTCGAAAGCTGGTGAGTTCAGTCCTATAGGCAGAGACGGGACGTGGAGACGAAGGAAGGGGAGAGAGGACGAAGGCAGACCAGGGATGCAGGGCAGGACAGGCAAGCGGGGCAGACGGGATCAGGCAGGGGGGCAGGGTTGACCAGGGCAGCAGGGCAGGCAGGACAGCAGGGTAGGACAAGGCAGGCAGGGAATACACAGGACAATTGAAACGCTCAGTAGCTGACATTCGCATGGCAACAATACTTCGCACCGTTCTGTGGTACGCTTTGGATTTGACTATGGTATCGATTTGTGCCGATTGCTAGCAGCTGTGTTGCCCCACCACTGTGGGCGTGACATATATTTCATATTTGTGATAATTAAATTATTTTTCATTTTTATTATGGCATCCCTTATTTAAAATTCATTGAGAAAACAGAGAGGTGTTTCAGAGATGTCTGAAAAAGAAATGTTGCGTGTATTAAGGTGTTTCTCAACAGAAAGTTTTAAAAATAGTTGTTCTTCTTCTCAAAGTTTGTGTGTATCTTACTGATTTCACGTTTCCTGTTACACTGTTTCTCTGAATGAACTGGTTCCGCAGGCTTCCCCCATAGCAACTGGAGCCAATCCCAGGAGATGAAGACGTCTGTCCCTCTCAGTGTGGGTGACAGTAGGAGATCTCAGTCCTTCCAGCTTGAGGGGCAGCCCAGCCACAGCAGTGCGGTGAGAGATGTTGCCCGTCAAGAACTGATTAAAAACCTCTGTGATGTAGAGATTCTACAATGTCAAGTCAAAGTCAAGTCAAAGTATCTTCATTATCTGTGCACAGTTACCAGTTAGGAGGCACTGAAGATGTTTGTCTGTGCAAAATGTGGTCTTCTGTTTGATGCTGGAGGCTGACAACTGGTCCCTCCTTTCTGCAGCTGGTACCACCCCCGCGAAAACAGGCCCTGGGGAAGTCAGGGCTGCTGGGACACGGCCTGGGTGAATGTAGGCTCTCCTCCAAGTAGTCATCTCTTCCAGTCCTCTTCAATTATTTCTGATCATTTTATTTGATGTAGTTCTCACCCCTAATCCTAATGGAATGCACAGGTCTCATGTGTTTTTTTAGAGCTGATCGGACTGCAGTCAAAGAACTAGAGACAAAGCTGTACCGTTAATACGTTTTTCAAATACCACCATTACTTTGTGTGTGTAATATTGTTTTGCATTTGAAGTCAGAATAAATAACATGAAACAAAAGAAAGTAAAATGTTTATTATATCCTAGTCTCATAAAACATGCTGAGATGTTATTTTAAGTACAGATTTTCGATATTTGTGAGGGTTGATGTTTTACCACTTGCTTAGACACTTTCTTCTTGCACCTCCTTAGACAACCTCTGCCTGAGCTCGGCGAGTCCACGACACAGCGTGTTTGGCCCCTTGCGAGAATCACACGACCAGGAGGAGCTTATGTCTTCTAGTAGCCGGGGGTAAGCCTAATTTTACTTGACCTGACTGCGGAAATATGGGCTATATTTTAATAGGAATGTATAAACACGGAGCAAAAAGGTTGTTTCCATCCCCTGAAATCTTTTCGACAGTATCTCCAGTTTGCGAGTTGGGTATTTCAGTAAATTGCATCATACAACAAAAGAAACGGCAGTTCTGAATTACAAAAGTCACGATGTATTGTAGAGTAAAAATAGCTTTGCTGCTGCTTTATTTCCTGAATTTCAGATACTGCTTGCTTTAAAAAATATCCAGTTGTGTATTTTACTAAGAGCTTCACTGACTTTGACAGGGAATTCCTGCTGATTATACAGCAGTGTATTTTACTAACAACTTCTTCACATGCAGTTTTGTCCTGGTGTGCAAGTGAGAATCCTTAAAACCTCTTTTGATACATACCTGTCAATAATGATTTAAGTCTTATCACGCAGTAGTGAAAATTGGTAGTTCTTCGAAATGTCTCCGCCACTTCTTTGGGATTTTGTTTTGTAGGATGTCCACAGGGGGGCGCCATTTCTCTGCAATGACCTCCACAGAGTCAGCGTTCCACTCCCATTTCAACCTCAGCATCAAATCAGAGCGGCTCTCACCTGATCTCAGCTTCTCTCCACACCCACACCACACTCGCTACCCCAGTTCGGTGGCTGGGGGTGTCGCCCCCAAAGGGGTGGCTCAGTCAAGCTCTCACATGCGAGAGAAACCCGGATTCCCCGAACAGCAGCTACAGGTCGTAGAACCTTGTCCTGCACACAAGGAGTTTCCAAGCGCTGCCTGTCTGAAATAACGTCTCTACTGCCAGCCATTCTAACTGATGCCGCGGTTACATTATTGTTCTCTGGAGATCGGATTAAGGGAACTTTTATATACACTTTTGCTTTTAAAGTGCTTTTAAAGTGTTCTGTGCTGTACTTGCCGCATGATATTGTATAAACATTTATAAATATATCATTTTATTAAGTGTAACTGAACAATTTTAATAATGGATTTTGGAGACATAATTAAATATAATGTTTGCTATTATGCGTATTGTTTTTTTTTTTTGTCTATTTTTTCTATAACTTTGCCTTCTATAGTCACACATCTGCATAAAAGCCCACGAGACGTCACCTCGGCCCCATTTACGGTCCCACCGCCAATCCTAATGGTTATGCTAATTCTACGCAGATCAAAAGTTTGCCTTTCATTAATGATTCCTTTATTCTTGCTGACAAAAGAGACATCTAAAGGAACAGCCTGGGAAAGTTTAACAGCTCAGTGTGGCGGTATGGCGGTGTCTTATTAGCTATAAGTAGCCTAATGCACGGGCAGAATAAAACATTCTCAGAAACAGCCCCACTGTCTGTCCTGCGACAATGACGCTGTTTTTTTGCTTAGATGAAATTCGTTTTGGTTTTGTGCGCGTAATTTTTAAACACAAGCGCATTAAACGTTTAATTACATAAATCAAGTAACACAATACTAGATTTTAATAAAGTATATATTTATTAATTATTATATTAGGACATGCTTTTTTTCCACACATGCGCGCACATTCATCTTCCTAACGTGTCCTGTAAATTATTCCCTTTCACACATGGGTGAACATCGTTTTCTCTCTCCAAATAGAAAGGAACTGGGGGGGCCGATATCGGGGCCCCTCCCCTGAGAGCCGCGCCGGTCTGCGAAGCTTCACCGTCCCTATAGCAACAGACTGGGCCTCCGAGCAGACGCACTTAATTAATGTAATTATATAGATATGTCAGTCCCGTCACCTTCAAGTTCACGAAGCCAGACGCTGTTCTCAGACACGTCGGGAGCCTCTCGATATTGTGAGAGATTTCACCGTGTCTGCCTGGGGGAGCGCTACAATATGCGGGGAGGAGCGACAGCAGAGACGCTCACGCTACTTACAAACAGCTGTTCCAGCCCCTTTGTTAAGAGCCCGAGCCTCTCATGGAAATTTCTCCAGTTCCCACGATTAAAAAAAAGGGGGGGGACACCCTCGAATTATGGTCTCAACCCAGAAAGCGCGATTGTGCGTTATATTTATTGTTTGCCAGTATTATAACCTAAAACAAAAAGACGGTACTTTCCATACCTCAGTCCGCGGTAATCCCGCCATTTCGCGCTAATTAATCTAACGATTTCTTTGGTGATTTGTATGAATTTTCTTAGCATTTGCTGAAAACTCAAAAGTCTCATAAAGTTTTTTTTTTTTTTTTTCTTGGATCAAACAAAAGGCGCCTCCGTTTGTCGTCCCTGTTGACGTGTGTTTTACTTTGAAATATTTAACTTTAGTATGTGTTATAAATAATGTAGAGTGTTTTGCCAAATTACACAGGCTGCCAAAATACATGTGGAGAATTCTATTCGAAACTCGTCGTAATCAGATATATTTGAATGTATAACTTCCCTTAATTGTCAGGATGACTAGATATTTTAATAATTCAATGATTTCTGGCCCAATACTGGAAATCCCAATGGGCTTAGAGGTTCAAAAATAAAATTAATACATGAGTCTGAAATTGAGAGGCTCTCCAGATAATGGAAAATGATATTTGGGTGTCACTGGAGTGGTGTAGAGGTCACCATAACCCTGGCATTACTGATGAAGGCTTTTGCAGTGAATAGCATTCAGTGACTTTTAAAGGTCTCCAAATGCAGTGCTCCAGAGTTCATTAAGCAGCCACTCTCACTGACCTGCATTCCGAGAGCCAAAGGTCACCATGTCACCGGACCACCTTGGCAGCAATGGAACTCTTTCTGTCAAAAAAAAGGGGCTTTTGTGCTTCCTTACGATCTCGTTGTGTGTTTGGAGAATAGCTAGCAACTAATTTGTGTTTGTGTACTGCCAGTCAGTCTCTGACACTAGTCAGGGAGCACATCCTGAACTGAAACAGAAAGGCATGGTTTCTGTGGTTTGGAGGAACTAAAACCAGAAATTAATCCCCCAACAGACAGAAGGCAACAACAAAGGCACACTGGAAATATTTAGCCACATGTAGAAAAATTACTTTGATCCCTGGAGAGACTAGGAGTCCCTCCTAACAGGTAGAGGAGAGACTGACATTCACTAGGTTTACTAAGCTCTGCAGCTTTCATTCTCAAAAATAGTATATTTCAGTCAACACACCCTCACATGTCTGCTTCTGTTGGTTTGAACTGCGCATTGGGATGAAAGACCAGTAAATTATGTCATATTCCAGACAGCCACTTCACTGGCCTGGGGGGTAAAGGTGACAGGGTCCATTTAAGTAGATGGTGTTACAGCAAAAGTGGACATAATTACTTCTCGGGGGGGGGTTGCATCATCTGGGACACGAACCACATCCTGATGCATTTGATTCTACATGGACAGCAAAGAAACTGACCCTAAGCCCACCCACTGGTACAAAAGGAAGCCGTATACAACTAAAATAACAAAAATTATAATTGGGCATCTTAATAATTATTGCTGATCTGTGATCATGCAAGCCGGTTTAGGGGCGTTAAATAGTGACAGATAAGGTCAGAAAGGTCACACACCCCAGACCCTATTGTGTGTGGGGGGGGGGGGGGGGGGGGGGAGGGTTGCATGTCTGGAAGGTCAAATATTATGGGGGGAGGGTGGGGGCATATTCCTCATGGCTGCCCCAGCCATCGGTGGGCAGACTTCATCTTAAAAATTCCAACTATAACCTGCTCAAAATCATTTGACATGATGTCACACAAGTGGTGTAAAAATAAGTAGAGAGAAAAAAAACCTGTCTCCAGAAATCCAAACATAACATTTCATTTTATTTTTACCAACTCAAGCAAACATATAAGTTTTGGAGGGGGAAAAGTACATTAAAACATGCATGTGATTTAAATATACATTTTCCCTAACAAGACCGACTGGACGCTGATATAAAGCAAATCTAAACTAGAATTATACCAGTTAATTATCCCAATAAAGTGTGTTTGTCATACTAAACGTCAATAAATTAAGTTTTAATGCAGATTGTTTAAGTCATGGCAGACAAAAGGTTAAAAATAACTCAAAGTCTTCAGTGATGTTTAGTGTAATTTGGTGATTAAGTTTAATGATCTGTCACATTGCATTAATACTTACAAAAGAATTGAAATGTTACCAGAAATTCATAATCCCTGAGATCTTGGGTACTCTTCCTCTGCTGTGCTCTCACTCACACACACAAACACAAACACACACACACACACACACACACACACACACACTCAAACACACACACTTTAGAAAAAGGAGAAAAAAGAAAAAGTCACGCACCTACACACTACATCCTTCATGAAACTTGCATGTTTTGAAATGTAGAGTCACTTCAGCCATCAGAATAGAGGAGTGGATCTGGGGCTGCATCACATCAAATGGGCTCTTTTGATCTTCCCATTTAAAGACACAGAACTGAGCCGTACTTGGAAACCATGTGAGACAGGCAGTCTCATGCAGCCAGAATGCACTATAGTGTTACGTCCCCGTCCCGGGCGTCTCTGCACACGCCGGCTGGAGATCCCAAGCGGGACGGGCCGCGCGGTTCCGGGTCGCGGCTCACGCAGAGCGGCCTCGTCCTCTGTCACGGCGCGGAGCCACGCCGGGCGCCGCTCAGTTCTGCATGAGGTACTGGTGGAAGTAGATGCCAAACAGGCTGCTGATGACCTGACAGGCCGCCACCCACCAGGTGAGGAAAGCGAAGAGGCCGCGGTAGAAGACGGGCGTGAGGACCCCGCGCAGGGCGCTCAGCGCCTCTGTCAGCCGCACCACCGTGGCCTGGATGTCCTCCTCCATGTCCTCCACATCGTCGTCCTCCCCCAGGCCCGGAGCTACGGAGGGAGCGGAGGTGGGAGGGGGCACTGCGGGTGTCACGCCCGGCTCTTCTGGAAGCAGCCCCCATGAGAAGTCACCTGAAGGAAGCAGCAGAGCGGGAGGTGAGCAATGCCACTGCTGATGTGGCAGGGGGGGGGGGGTGCAAACTAAGACGACGTTACATGTATCTCTTAGATGCTATGATGCATTGTGTGAAATGCTCCTTTGCCAAGGATCAGAGTCGTGTTTCCCACTCCTAGCGAGAGAGCAGGTACATTCAAAATCGCATACTTACATACTACGCACTCAATTTTGTGAGAAGCATGCTACTCAACCATTAATTTAGTATGTACTACATGTATGCATAAGGACAGTATGCATGCACTCAGACACACCGGGGTCGCCATTTCACATATTACCTGACCCGGATGTGTAGCAGTGATTCCCGCAAAAGTAAAAATCTGTTAGAAACTATCGAAAACATATTCAGGTATCTTATGTATCTGGGTATTATTTTCTACTTAAATTTGTAGAGAATCAGCACATTCCCTCCACCATCTTGACAAAAATTTCTGAGCTCCAGTGGGCTTGTGGGATAGCGTACTATCGGTTGCACACTTCAGAATTTTGCAGAATGTAGTAGTATCGTCCTGGTATCGATTGCCTACTGTCTTATCCATACTGAAGATTTAGGTATACTGCTTACTTTACATAGAATACTTGTATTTATATAGACACATTATATAGCAAAGAAGTATGCAGTTTGGGATGCACCCAATTAAGACTGAAGTCTAGTGGCTGATGGCTCCCTAGCAAGCAGCCTTGGTGTTAAACTCTCAAACTTAATGAGTACAATAAACCATCCAGTCTAATAAGCAATGAAACCTTAAGTAACTTTGGATAAAACGATCTCCAAAGCAACTAAATGTCAAGTGCAATGAAAGGTAGAGTGGATTTCCTTTCTCGATATCTCATAACGTCTTACCCAGCGACTTCAGGGCTAGGGTGGAAAAAAGCACCAGGATGATAGGGGCCAGATACTGCAGGGTGACCACTGTCAGGTAGCAGAACACTCTGGTCACCTGCAAAGAGGCCGCAAAAACATTACCAAAAGATAACAGGCTTCTCTCAGGCAGATCGTAGGGCAGCCCAGATGCGAAGGACCCCACCTTCCTCTGGATGTCGATGGCGGCAATGCGGCCTGCCTCTCTCTTCATGCGGTCCACCCACTTCTGAGACAGGTTGAGGTAGGCCTGCAGGTGGTAGCGGGTAAGCGCCAGACGCAGCAGACACAGGACCACCACCGTCCACAGGCGCACCGAGCTGAAGGCGGAGCTGGAGATGCTGAGCAGCACACAGACAGGAAGCATGACGACGATTATTTATTATCATCAACATCATTCATACATGAAATGCAGCTCAAAGTGCTTCAAATGTGGTATTGAAATAAGAATCAAAGACACAGACGCTGTATAAAATAAACTCTTCATGCATAAGCAAAATACAGGACAGACAGACAGAGTTGTATTGTGAATGGTTCACATCACCCTGCCTTACAAAGACATCGGATTCATAACCTGAATTTGTCTGCAGTCAGCCAAGTGTCTCAGCTCTGCTTAAACTACTACTGACGTCACAACCGAGAAAGATCGGGGGTCTGCTCCACGAGGCAAGATTTCTCACAAGTCATGGTTGTCCAGTAGGAATGCTCCTCACTTAAAGTCTTACTGGACAATCATTAGCCCAGCTAACTTAGGAACCCTGCCTTGTGGAGCAGCCCGCCCCCGGCCAAAGGAATGGTAACATGCTCAGGTAGATTAGATCGAGAACCGAGGCTGAGGGCTATCGCTGTGCTGTGTGTCTGCCTGTGTTCGGCTGTGCTTGTGGCAGGCAGGCGGGCTCACAGGGTGACAGAGGTCTTCCCCATCGGGGCGTTCCCCAGGAAGTCCCGGGCGATGGGCTTCACCCACAGCAGCACCACGATCACTGGGGATAAGAAGCTGGCATGCAGAAGGATCCTAGGAGACAGGACACAGGAGAAAGGTGAAAGGACACAGGACACAGGAGAAAGGACAAAGGACCAAGGACAAAGCCAGTCAGCACCGGAGACAGTAGACTTCCCGAAAACTCCAGGGCAAACCTTAGCTGTGCCTCAAATGTATTTCTGATGTGCTTTTCTAAAACATTTTAGTGGGATCATAGTCAAAACATCTCAGCTCTCATAGTCAAAAGAGTGGACTTACTGTATGAAGGGCCGGTCAGTGTTCATCTCAACCGCGTCGAGGTGAGTCTGAGCCAATCGGAGTCCAGGAAACGCCAGCAAGGCACCAATAAAAGCGCACAGCGCTGCCAGAAGGAGCTTCACGGTGAGCTTAGTCACAGGAACCCTGTGAAGGGAGACTGTTAACGTTCTCACAAAACATCACCGTCATCTTTAGGCCACATGCTACAGGACCTGATCTCAGTCAGCATCAGAAATACAGCATCAGAAAAAACTAAGAGAACCCAGCAATTCACTTATTTCTCAATTTATGGGTCTTTGAATAATATACATTTTTAGCAAACTCCAGCCTGGTTCTTCCCTGTATCTCGCTGATGAAGGGTTTCTTCCTTTTGCTTTATGGGTCTTCAGTCCTGCTTCTAGGAGCCTGATATGAACTGTCCTAGCAGTGCACTTCACATCTGCACTTAATGTTTCCCGTTCCTTTTGAAGGGCACTTGACGTCACCCTCCGATTCATGAGAAACTATTGGATAAGTTAACGGTCGTCTCTGGCATTAGAAAGTTTCTTCCACTATTTACCTGGCTGGTTTTTAGTCAATCCCAGTGTCTCCTGTTTCACTCTGTTCTTAAGTACTGCTATCTTAGAAATTTTTAAGCTGGAAGCAGCCCGCTGCTCAGCGTAGCCTCTGCCAGCAGAACCAGGATTAAACCAGGATTTAACAATGCAGTTTATTTTTAATGCAGAGTGCTCTCTTATGTTTATCCAGAGCTGTACATGAATGAAATATGTTGGTGCTGCACAGAGGATGCGCTGGGCAGGAGATACTCACGACCACTCGTAGCCTTGCTGCTTGGCGAAAACCTCGAGGTTCTCAAAGAGATTCGCAAAGCCTGCCCAAGGATAGCGGAGGGGGAAGGGGGAAAGGAGGAGTCAGAAAATGAACGCCACATTCTCCAAGCATCACGTTTAAGATGGTGACCAGGACGGCTTTGGGACACGAGCACGGGGGGCTGGGATTGCAGCTGATCTACGCGGACTTCATCCTGCGTGGATGGAAGCGGTAGAGAGCAGAGGCACTGGGAGACGCACCAGCCTCCAGTCCAAACTCCAGGTAGTCCTCGCGCACCACCAGCACCAGCATGGCCACCAGCAGGGACAGGAAGCCGAAGGCCAAGCAGACCGAGCGTTCACCCCCTTCCTCCGAGCGGAAGTAATGGCTCATCAGTGTGTGCAGGGTCTTCCTGGGTCAGAGGTCAAGGGTCACAGCATACAGTTCAAGGGAGAGCATGAAGACTCTGAACCCGCTACCCCCTCCCATACCACACCCCCACAGTCGGCAACCAAATAGCACCTTTCATTAACTTACCAACAACTTCAAAGTCCCTAGGTACACATAATATAGATTACATGACAGCCATACCACAAACAAGGACAATAAATGAACCCAGACATCCATCTTCTGTAACCGCATGTCCTATTCAGGGCTGTGGGGGGTCTGGAGCCTATCCTGGAGGCTATGGGCGCAAGACAGGGAACAACCCAAGACAGGGAACAACCCAGGATGGGGCACCAACCCATCACAGGGCACACTCACACTCACACAACATTCACACACACACTCACACACCATTCATCACACACACACACCTACGGGCAATCTGGCAACTCCAATTAACCTCAGTATGTTTTTGAACTGTGGGGGGAAACCGGAGAACCCAAAGGAAACCCCACAATGACACGGGGAGAACATGCAAACTCCACACACATGGAACCCCAGTCACTGACGTGGGAGGCGAAAGCGGCAATCGCAGTGCCTCAGTGCTGCCCAATGAATGAACCTCGTTCAACTACAGAAGCCCAATGGCTAAAACATGCACGTCTATTCCAAACGAACGACACAAAAGCCCTTTGGGATGAAGGATACAAGCAGAAGAGTATAGTCAGCACACACCAAATGGCTCCGATGTTCACCTCCTTACTGGCATCAACAACGCAGTAATAAGCCTCGGTGAAGAGAAACACGCCCAGGGCGTAGACGGCGAAGTCGAGCAGCCACTGGTACTCCAGGAAAAAGCGCAGAACTGGGGACACAGAGAGACACAGTGAGGAAGATTTTACACAACCTAGAATCTCTACTGCATACGCACTCCATTTATTTACGAGATGCTTTTTCCTCAATGCGATGTACATTTTTGAGAAAGCAGGATCAGACAAGTCCTGGAGCAACTGGGGGCCAAGGGCCCTATTCAGGGGCCCGATGGTGGAACAACTGGGGGCCAAGGGCCCTGTTCAGGGGCCCGATGGTGGAATCACTCCACTGACTGTGGGACCCGAACCAGCGACCTTTCCATCAGAGGCACAGTGTCCCACTCCCAACCCACTGAAACACACACCGCCCCCAGTATTACAGTATTTCTACAAATCATCCATCCATCCTCCATACCCCCCTTGTCATATGCAAGGTTGCAGGGGTCCAGAGTTACATTCCGGAAGCTACATGCACGTGGCAGGGAACAACCCAGCACGAGGTTTTTACAAATGACTGTCGGCACGAATATAAGACGGGTTTTGTTTTCTCACAGTGCATCTGGGACAAAGTGCTGTTGTCTTATATTGGGGGTCGAGACAGAAAAGGTAATAGATGGCGCCGAATATGATATTTTATCATAACAAGTTGCTCTGACTTGCCGTAAGATTTCCTCCGTGAGCATGATAATCAAAAAGTGCGCGTGTCACACCAGGTGCGTGTGAGCTGGCATCCCTGGCAATGCGTGTGCTTAGCGTGTAACACTGAGTGCCGTGTAAATCGTTGGTTCCCTGTCTGTGCCGCTGCTAGTATTAAACCAATAGTGGTTAATAAAGACAGTAACGTTCATTTTCAAAGAGCTGTCATATCATTTATTATGGCTCAACCTTTCTCCACAATACGTTTTTTTTACCCTCTTCATGTGCACCTGCTGCACTGAAAACATTCTGCGGACTCGGGGGTTGTGGAGTTTGTAATATTCATTATCTACCACCACCCCCAATAATAATAGATACTATATTGATCCCCATGGGGAAATTCTCTTTACTCCTCCCCCAACTTGCTCTTTGTAAGTGAGACCAGTCTGGCCCTGAAGGGCAGCCACCCATAGCAGCGCCCAAGGAGCTGGGGGTTAAGGGTCTTGCTGGAGGTCCTGCAGATATGCTGAGGTTGGGCTTGAACCGGCAACTTTCCGATCACAGGCACAGAGGCTTAGCCCACTGAGCCACACCCTGCCCAAATACATTTTTTATTGGAATGATTGCTGTTCGTGTCAAATAATTTTATATCTCTTTATAGAGGTATGATTGGTATTCCAAAAACATTTTTTCTAATAATAGTTGCCAAAATTGTGTGTGTCTGTGGGGGGGGGGGTCGTCTTATATTGGGGCCAATACAGTAGTTTTAATAAAACCTTTATGACGTAGCACCTCACTGAAAAATACACAGTTCCCCTGCCAAGATTTAAACCTGGAACCCGTCCAGTGACCAGTGCAGTTGCTTGTTGTGCTGGTTATGCATACCGAGGGCATCCAGCACGTTGACCGGGGCCGTTTCCAGCTGCAGGTTGATGTCTTTGGGCACAGTTAGCGGTTTGTTCTCGCCAGCCCCATTCTGCCTCCTGCAAAAACAGCACGTAAAACGTACAGCCGACACCCACGGGCAACAGAGCCAATAGCGGCTGAGCAGGGCCCCCGCCCCAGTCATACCTGTCTCTCCTATTGGTCTTTGGCATCTGCTTCCCAGCTAAAGCACAAAGCTCTCCCTCCGAAGGGTGCTTAAATCGGAACAGACTGAAAGGAGAAAACCAGGGCTGACATACACAGCCATATACACTCTACAAAGGTGCAAGTACACCAGTGTCAGCATAGCATCTATCTGGGAGCGTTTCTGGGCACCCACTCATGCACTCCATAACAGCAGCCCGTAATATACCTGCCATTGCAAAGGAGCCAGCGAGCAAAGGAGCAGTGCGGAGCCATTCTCTGCATTATGCTAGCGGCCAGGAGGCTGACCACCAGCTGGAATCCCATCAGGGCCTGTCAAAGGAAGACAGCTCACATTCCAAAGACAACCCCCCCCACAGGACAGCGTGGTCACAGCGAACACAGGCCATATGAAATCCATCTAGCGGCTTCCAACTACTGCCAGACCGTATATTTTCGTTTATATGCGCCTGAAATGCAACTTTAAACCAATCTACGGTTTGAATGAAAAGGCCCGAATCCCGTCTCATGCATGCCCTGTAAGTGTATTACCTTTAACCACTTAGCTAATACATCAGTACTTCAAAAATAAGTCACAAATCAGTACGCTTCGTGAACTTTATCATATTATAAACTAACGCAACAGCTAGATCAAACTGGCCTTAAGTTCGCACATTCATAGAAATACGACTGTGCGAAAACTTTACTAGCGGTTAGCCAGCTACCTTCATGGACAATTGCATATATTCACATACAAAAACTCCCGACAGATAAAATGAAAATGTGGCAAAACTCACCATTTTCTTGCAATTTTAATTGTGTAGAAAGAAGCACGGTTAATTTTCAGTCTGTATAACGTTCGGTTCTACGCTCTAATGCTTCTTAACAGCTGTAGCTGTCAAACTCGAAGGGCACGTTTCAATATGAAATCTTTAGACCAACCTATATTTTTCGTTGATTGGCTGATTTTTCAGTACTCTTCGTTGTGATTCGACAATCTAGTTAACATCCGATGTCATGAAAGGTTACTGTCTGCAGAACCAATTGTATTTTAGCGTTAGCAACAGGTTTGAGGATTGTGGGTAATGTAGTCTTATAACAAATACAGTCCGCACGTAGAAAATAAGTACAATAATGGAAAACTGATTTTGTATGATAGTCCACTGTAAACCACTGACATGATAATTACGACATTTATGAATGTATATTGTTTGTATTTCATCCCTCTAACAAAACCACTTTCGTCTGGAAGTCATTTAACGTTACTATTTTAACTTCTCTGCACCTGTCATTGCGGTAATCTGAGCTCGACGCCTGATATCCCCCAGTCACTTCACAGACACGCGGTAATTATTATAGCAAACATATTCTCAGCAGAATCTCGCCTAGGGCGCCAGAACACCCAGGGCCTGCCTTGCGCATTATCATATACTATGGGGTATGCATGCCCATTTATCAAAAGCAAGTTTTTGAGTGGGAAAGAAAACTGGGGTACCCAGTGAAATAGGATAAAGGACTGTGTTCCTCAGACTAGGGCAGTACTGGTGCCTGCCATGGAATGAGTCAGAGATAGCTTTTTTACGGAAATATTTTGCGGAAGGACAGTGACTCAAATGTCCATCTTAGATGGCTCCATCCTGTCCAGGGTGTACCTGGGCCGTATGCAATATGCTGCAGGCCCCTCAGCAACTCTGTTTAGTGTGGTTAAGTAGTTTGATGATTCATGGCTAAATATATGTTTAGAAAGATAGAATTGTCCATCCATCCATCCATCCATCCATCCATCATCGAACCACTTATGGTGGGCTGGGGGGGGGGGATCTAGTGACTGTGTCAGGCAGCATAGGGCACAAAGCATAGACACAGGGTTTGCAGTCACACACAGTCATACACTGAGAGGGAACCAGAGGCCAAACTGCACCTAACTGCGTTTTTATGGATTGGGAGTATAAGGGTGGAAACTGCTCAACAAGCATGGATGGATGGATGGATGGATGGATGGATGGGTGTCAGTGTAATATAAGAATGACCAAGGTGGGCTGAACATAATGAGGAGACACATGTAATTGTGAGAATAATCAGTTGGGCTTTCAGTGGGGAGCTGGCCAGTGATTCATTCAATGTTTGTTTAATCATTTTTGAAAAGGTCAGTGTTATGCAATTTAACGTGATGCATTGTAACTCATATTTTTTTTGCAGAAAACACAGTATTGGTTAATGTGTTTATCTTATACAGGGCCGCGTTCAGCCCGGAGCCCTTACCAGTTTACGCCCCCATTCCTGTGATCAGAAGGCTACCAGGCCCTTACCCCCCCCCCCCCAAATGCTCCAACGGTGCCAGATAAACAGCTGACACTGCGCTTGCAACCCAAGTTTGGCTCTCAACTCCACATATTTGTGTGTCTCAAAGGAGATAAGGCAGGGCATGTGCAAAGAAGCATCCCAGTATACCTGTACTTGTACTTGTGCAACTGGAAAATAAAGTATTGTTTAATTTTATCTGTTACATTTATTTACATTTACATTCACATCTATTTCGTTTTATCTGTTATCTGCTCCAGGTATCTCAATAACCCTGGCCAGCATTAGTGTCTGGATAATGGACAAATGGATTGATGGATGGATGGAAGGATGGTTGGAGTATTAAATTAGTATCAATTACAGAATCTGACATAGCGAATTAGCATGAATTAAGCATTAATCAAAGTATCTGCTGCACCCTTTCTTTGTCTCACAGCTTTCCCGTCAGATGGAGACTGGCCAGGCAAATCTCTGCAGCATGCACACGCAGCAGAAGCTGGGTCTCCCTCGCATGGGGGTCTGTTGTACTCTGCAGTGTCCCTCCACATTCCCAGGCTCCTCTGCCAGGATGCACAAAGCAATGGAAGACCTGGGCTGGAATAGGGGCTCAGTGACTGACAGACAGATTGGCTTGTCATTGTTCCAGGCATGTGTGAAACTCAAGCCTTATTTTAATACATGCAAAACGCCCTGCCCCCTCTGTGATCCTCCCAGACAGACCCCTCCCACCTCTGTCCTGCTTGCATATGCATGAGCTGAGAATGACTGTGGCAGCCAGCCTGTCTGGGCACGTGCAGTGGCCTCTGTGTTCACGTTTGAGATTTCAGACCAATCTGTGTCTCACCGGGGCATCCAGGGACTGTCCTGGGGCTGACTGACACAGAAAACAGGGCAGAAATGAAAGACCTGACCCTCAACCTTTATCATTCCCTATAACACTAAATGTTGAATGGTTCTTACTTGTGGTCTACCCCAGTGATAAAACTGTTTGAGACAGGATGTCCACACTGTGGTTTATCTTCCCATCTCACATTCACTCCAAATGACTATTAGTTGTGCGATGTTTATAATCCTAGTAAGGAAAAACTCTGTTTTTAAGCGGTGCATTGTGTTTCTGACGTTTTACCAAAAAATCCGAGTGGAAATCCGAGCATGCGCACTTACCTGATTGTAGAAGGTTCAGGTTTTTTTGCGTTATATGACGGAAGACAAACTGCCTCCAGTTACTGAAAGGAAGTAGTTCGTTCAAGAAAAACGTCCGTGACACCTTATTACTGAATTAAATACGTGAGATTCATTTGTATTACAAGCTCTGGTAATCGAAGCAGGTATGTTTTTCCAGAGATTAAGCTATGATATAATATATTTGCTCTTTTGATGTAAATGCATCAGGAGGACGAACGGCGTTGGCTAAGGTGTTAATCTTATACAGGATTGTGTTCAGCCTGGATCCCTTACCAGTTTACGCCCCCACGCCTGTGATCAGAAGGCTTCCAGGCCCTTAACCCCCAAAATGCTCCAACTGCGCGAGGTAAACAGTTGACATTGCGCTCGCACCCCAAGCTTGGCTCTCAACTGCACATATATGTGTCTCAAAGGAAGGAAGGCAGGGTATGTGCAAAGAAGCATCCCAGTATACCTGTACATCAGGGGGAGGAATGCACGACAGGAGCGCTGTAGAAAAACATTTTGGTAGATCTTGTACCCCATATGTGTGAATTTCCGGCCCCACAGCAAAGAGATACTAAGAGTCTTTACAATAACTCTACATAGAATCTCAATATGTATTTTCTGCCAGTATTGTCACGAAAGATTCGTTTTCGTCATGTCTATAAAACATCATACTTGGGCGACGTAAAAAACTAGTGTCAGGTTTCAGCTGTATCAGTTCTTTTAATGTTTTGTTTTATCTAACGTATTATGTTGGGTTTTTCCTCCTAATCACAATATGACTATCGTGATTAGTTGTGAAATTCCTCATAACTAACGCGTTTACTTGTCTACAAAGGGGGAAATCTTTATTCATAACGGTTGCCTGGGACCTGTGTCTCTGCAGTAGGGCAGACTTGATGATTGTAGCCACTGCAACACTTCGCATACAGCTTATATGTGGTTATTTACAGTATTCCGTTAATGTAAAGCTTAATTAGTCTTTAACATTGCCAAATAACGGCATATATGCCTCTTCTTCATTTTGATGTGTTTCAGTCATTAGAAATAAGAGTATCCGGTGAATTGCCTTTAATACCATGTAACAAAATCATTATGTACGTATACCTATAATATTCTTGCAATGTAACCCCGGATTACAGTGAAATCTGCTAAAAAGTATTTATAAACATTTTAAAGTACTATTATTTAATGTTTCACTTGATAATTTTGCAAAATTATTTAATCTTTATTTGAGATTTTAAATTAGTTTGTTCACGTATGTCGAAGTGCATGCGTTGTGTTCACAGTATTAACAAGCCCATTCAATTTTTTTTTTCCCAATTGTGCCTTTACGTCTTAATTACGATCGAGTGAAGACGAGATTTCGATTTATTTTACATAATTTTTTTTGGGACAAGTAATAAACTTGGCATTCCTTTACGATTTGCATGATCAGGCTGCGTCAGTTTTTGGGTGAAGATCATTCCCTTAACAAGTCGCGCTTTTCGAGCGGTCTGGCAGAAGATGCGTCCTGAATTGTAATTGGCGACAAGTTACTACGGGACTGCGGCGCTTGAGCTTGAACTTGACCGTCGGGACGGCATGGGAACGGAGCGCGCGAATTTGCCCTCTTCTTTTATGCGGGAGAAGTTGTTACGGCTGATGTCAACCCTGATTATCATAAGATTCAGTCCGCTTCTAATTAAAGGACAGCGCTGTTGGGAACTATTGAGCCAGACCTAGACAGACCTAACCGTACCGAAGCTCTCTCCGAGAGGACTTAAAAATGCCACCCGCTACTTTCCGTCGGTAAGTTATTAAATAAGTTATTTTGGGGCTAGACTTTAAATGGTGAGTGCGTCATTCAGATGTTTGTGGAAAGACGTCAATCGATAAGTGTAAGGTGAACGGTTTCGGTGACACTTTACCATCTTATGAAAATGTTCCGTTTGGCTCGGCAAATAAAGCTTCACGTTTTGCATTATTTGGGGCTTTGCATTATTTCATAAGGAAATACATTATCGAGTGGATTTTTAAAGGCGAAAATTTAGTTTGAATTCCATACTTGCACTTTTCTGATGTATAGGGTTTTATTTAATTCCATATGATTGCGGTGAATTTTAAAATATTTCCTGCACGTGAAGCTGAACCTATAGCGCTGATACATCAGTGTCTTGTCGCCATTTAACAGTAAACAGTTGCTTTACTTTGCTCATTTTTTAATGTATTCATTGTTTTTAGAGAGACAACAATAAATGCACCCATCTTGGGAAAAGAACTAGGCCGATACTGAAACAAGGCTGGTGTAAAAATAATATTTTTGAGTTTTATCCGCTCAGAATAATTTTAACAAAGTCTTTATTAACGAGAATTAAAAAAAATCTATTTTTAATAAATCAATTTCAAACTAAATATTTCATTTGCATAGAACTAACACTGAATAAAGTTCTTTGAGCTTTTGTTTTGCAATGTT